GGGGCTGGCTGGCATGTGGTGCTGGGGGATTGAACCACGGTCCCTGCACTTTGCTAAGCTTGTTCTAAGTAGGTACTTTAGGCCACTGAGCCATCTCACCAGCCCCCTAAATGCAGTTTCATTGATCTACTTACCTGTATTATGACACTATTAACTGTCATAGCTACTATGTATTTGCTTTTTGTGGTACCAGGGAGTCAACCCAGGGCCTCACATATGCTAGGCAAGCACTCTACCACCGAGTACATCCCTAGCCCTATAGGTCAATTTTCTGCCCTTCCATCATCTGACCCAGAATGCCCTCGGATCTTCCCTTTTCCTATTCCATATAAATTTAGCATAGGTCAGTTAAGTTCCATAGAGCACACTACTGGGATTTTGATTAGTTTTCCATAGAATTTATGTTTTAGGAAGGAATAACATCTTCATGATACCAAGTTTACATATATACAAACACTGCATGTATGTCATTTATCTTTAATACGTAAAGCTTTATAATCTTTTCATTAAGGCATCTTTTGTACTTCTTTCCTACTGTATTATTATTTTTTTTTAAGTACCTCTTTGTTTTTGAGGCAGGGTCTCACTGTGTAGTTCAGGCTGGCCTCCCTCGTACTCACTAACCCCCTCTAAACTCAAGGTGATCCTCCTGGCCCGCCTCTCCAGGGCTGGGACCCTAGACCTGTGCCACCACGCCCACACCCAGCTAGAAAATACATTTTCCACCTAGGGTGGCTGGCTGGCTTGCATAGCAGTGTTGCCGAGGTATAATTTCGGTGGAAGATCGTTTTAGATTTTCTAGGTATGCCATCAGCATTATCTTTAAGTTATATCTTTAAAATTCTTTTAATTAGGTAATGCAATCCTCTCTAAAATGAAAAAGGTGTATGGAAATACTTCAACCCTTCTTTTGAAGCACGCGCCTCACAAGTAACCTCTATATTTCCCAGGGTTTCTTAGTGCTTAAAACAAGGAAATAAAATTTAAGTTATTTTCACTGCCTTTAGCAAAATAGAGATCACTACTTAGCTGTCCTCCCCTCCTCGTCCCTGGAAAACCCTCGGAGGGTTGAGGTCGGGGTCCGGAACCACCGAGCTGCGCGGCTAGAGCGGTGGGCATGCAACCACCGAGCTGCGCGGCTAGAGCGGCAGGAAGCGCAGTCTGCGCGGTGGCTGCTGGTCCGGGGCATCCACTACCGTGCTTCCGACCGAGACGGGGCTCGGTGCAAGGCTGCGGGCCGCAAGTGTGCGTGTTTCCGAGGCCGAGCTGGGCGCTGCCCTTGTCCTCGCAGAAGCGCGGGAGTGCCCGCCTGACTGCCCTGGCCCCCCGGGCGGGTCGCTGGGGCGCGCGGTCGCCCCGCCGCCTGGGCAGTGGGAGCCCTGAGCACTTGCTGGTCCGGCCTCAGGGTCGGGTCCGTTCCAGCCTTGGGCCTGCGGTGCTGGACCCTGAAGTCTTGTTGCTTGTGGGCGCCTGGGCTGCTCCAGTTACTGTGCCTGTGACTTCTTGGCCGTCCTTTCGCCTCTGTGCCATCCTGCTTTGTAAAGGGGGAGACTGGTCTGATCTCATTCGCTGAGTGTTTTGAAGGTTGAGTTCATTCATGTGAGGCACCAAAAACGGTACCAGACAGACTAAGCACAAGTTCGTTACGTGGCTGTTAGTATTAACTGTGGCAGCACATTATTTTCAGGTAGTAGGCTTAATGACTACCTTTTTTTTTTCATTCTTACTGTATTTTTAATTAAAGTGGTAGTCAGTTCTCTTTGTAATGGATGATTTCTTTATTTTAGGAGGAAAAAGTAAACTACACTGAAGAAGAACCTGACCCAGAGCAGAGTCTCAAACTGGTTATGTTGGGGTGCTCACGCTCCCGGAGGGGCTAAAACTGGGGATGCCTATTCTTTGGATCGAGACTCAGGACGAGCAGAGAGGTTTGTAACGGAGGAAAAGGACTAAACAGAATAGGACTTACTTTTAGTTACCATTCAGGAAGGCCGGGGAACTGCACTATTAGCTGGTACTAACATAATACCTACTATGTGCTAGGCACCGTTCTAATGATGTTAAAGCCAACTTACTGAGTGTTCACATTGGCTGTTATCTTTCAGATGAGGACAGAGATGTGTGATATGCCGCATTCTCCTAGCTAGTAGGTAGTCAAGCGAGGATTATAAGCCCAGGAAGCCAGGCTTCAGTGTTTGTGCCCCTAACCAGACTAAGATGGGACACTGCAAAAACACAAAACAAAACAGAC